GGGGGGGCACGGGGGGCTGTGAGCCCGGGCCAGGGACCCCAGAGCCCAGAGCCAGAGCCAGAGCCTGAACTGCCTGGATCCCAGAGCCTGCAGTGCCCAGGGGAACCTGCCCAGGGACCCCAGTCCCTGTTATCCCCCTTCCCAGTTCCCCTTATTCCTCTGCCCAGGGACCCCAGACCCCGTTATCCCTTTTTCCCACAGTCCCTCTTATCTCCTCCCACACTTTGTTATTTCTCTTCTCAGGGATTCCAGACTCTGATATCTCTCTTCCCAAACATTTCCAGACCTCATTATTACCAGGGGACCCCAGACCCCATTATCCTCCCTCCCAGGGACCCCAGACCCCATAATCCCTCTTTCCAGGGACCCCAGACCCCATTATCCCTCCCCCCACTCGATCCCAGTTCCTGCCATGTCCCTTCCCAGGGACCCCAGACCCCACTGTTGCCCCCAGAGTCCAGCACCCGCTCCCAGTGCTCCCAGTGCTCCCAGTGACTCCCAGTACCCCCAGTGCCCCCAGTGACTCCCAGTGCCCCCAGTGCTCCCAGTGCTCCCAATGCTCCCAGTGCCCCCAGTGCTCCCAGTGCCCCCAGTGCCCCCAGTGACTCCCAGTGCCCCCAGTGCTCCCAGTGCTCCCAATGCTCCCAGTGCCCCCCAGACCCGGGGGGACCTGTGAGTGACAGAGGAGTGACCTAGGGGGGAACTGGGGGGGACCTGGAGAGACTTGGGGGTGACCCGGGGGTGACCTGGGGGTCTGGGGGGACCCGGGGATGACCTGGGGGTGACCTGGGAGGGACCAGGGGTAACCTGGTGGCCTGGTGTGACCTTGGGTGACCTGGGGATGACCTGGGGAAGACTTGGGGGTGGCCTGAAGGGACCTGGCAGGGACCCAGGGGTGACCTGGGAGTGACCTGGGGGGACCTGGGGGAGGACCTGGGGGCCTGTTGGAACTGAGGTGACCTGGGGGGGACCCAGGGGTGACCTGGGGGGGACCCGGGGTGATCTGGGGGGTACCCAGCCGTGACCTGGGGGGACCCGGGGTGATCTGGGGGGTACCCAGCCATGACCTGGGGGGGACCCGGGGTGATCTGGGGGGTACCCAGCCATGACCTGGGGGGACCCGGGGTGATCTGGGGGTACCCAGCCGTGACCTGGGGGGACCCGGGGTGATCTGGGGGTACCCAGCCGTGACCTGGGGGGACACGCAGCTCTGCTCCCCACGGGGCACGTCCCACCAGGAGAGCTGGTGGCACCAGGAGGGACACGGGGTGACAGCGCTGGGGCAGGAGGGGGCACGGCCTGGGGGTGCTCCTGGGGTCCCAAAGCCACAGGGGCAGGACCCAGAGGGACTCGTGTCCCCACAGCCACACAGCCGGGTCCCCAAGGAGTGACATAGGAGTGACCTAGGGGGGAATTGGGGGGGACCTGGAGAGACTTGGGGGTGACCCGGGGGGGACCTGGGGGTGACCTGGGGGGGACCAGGGGTAACCTGGTGGCCTGGTGTGACCTTGGGTGACCTGGGGATGACCTGGGGAAGACTTGGGGGTGGCCTGAAGGGACCTGGCAGAGACCCAGGGGTGACCCGGAGGGGACCTAGGGGTGACCTGGGGGGACCTGGGGGAGGACCTCGGGGCCTGTTGGAACTGAGGTGACCTGGGGGGGACCCAGGGGTGACCTGGAGGGACCCGGGGTGACCTGGAGGGACCCGGGGTGATCTGGGGGGTACCCAGCCGTGACCTGGGGGGACCAGCAGCTCTGCTCCCCACGGGGCACGTCCCACCAGGAGAGCTGGTGGCACCAGGAGGGACACGGGGTGACAGCGCTGGGGCAGGAGGGGGCACGGCCTGGGGGTGCTCCTGGGGTCCCAAAGCCACAGGGGCAGGACCCAGAGGGACTCATGTCCCCACAGCCACACAGCCGGGTCCCCAAGGTGCTCATGGCTCCTAAACCCGCCTGGCTGGCTCCCAAAGCCACCTGGCCACGGCCCAAAGGGGCTCAGGGGCTCCCAAAGCCACAGGGCCGGGTGCCAGGAGTGACCCCAAAGCCACCTGGCCGGGTCCCAGGAACACAGGGGGTCCCAAAGCCACCTGGCCACGGCCCAAAGGGGCTCAGGGGCTCCCAAAGCCACAGGGCCGGGTGCCAGGAACACAGGGGGTCCCAAAGCCACCTGGCCAAGTCCCAAAGGCACTTCTGGCTCCCCCAGAGTTGTGTGGCTCATGGGGGGTCCCAAAGGAACACAGTGGGTCCCAAAGGAACACAGAGGGTCCCAAAAGCACAGAGAGTGTCCCAAAGCTATATGGGAGGGTCCCAAAGGCACATGGGGGGTCCCAAAGGCACAGGGAGGGTCCTACAGCCACACAGGGGGTCCCACAGGCACATGGGGGGTCCCAAAGGAACACGAGGGGTTCCAAAGGGACACGGGGCTCCCAAAGTCTCAGGGAGGATCCCAAAGCCACACAGGGGGTCTCAAAGCCACACAGGGGGTCCCAAAGGCACCCGGGGGGTCCCAAAGTCACCCGGGGGGTCCCAAAGGCACACAGGGGGTCCCAAAGCTACACGGGGGGTCCCAAAGGCACACAGGGGGTCACGAAGGCACACGGGGGGTCCCAAAGGAACATGGGGTGTCCCAAAGGAAGAGGGAGGGTCCCAAAGGCACCCGGGGGGTCCCAAAGGCACATGGGGGGTCCCAAAGCCACACAGGGGGTCACGAAGGCACCTGGGGGGTCCCAAAGGCACCCGGGGGGGTCCCAGAGCTGCTCCCCCACACCCCAATCCCCTTGGCTGGGTCGCTGCCGCCCTTTGCCACACCTGACCCCCCCATCCCCCAGCCTGGAGGGGGGCTTGGGGGGCTCAGGGGTCTCGGGGTGCAGAGGCTCCCCTTGCTCTTGGGGGGCTCAGGAGGACTTGGGGGGCTCAGGGTGATTCAGGGCGACTTGGGGGTCTCAGGGTGGCTCGCGGGGTCTCAGCGTGACTTGGGGCCGGCCCGTTTTTCTTGCCGGGGGGCGGCGCGGGGGGGGCGGCGGTGGCCAGCGCGGGTCCCCCCGCGGCCAGCGCGGCCCCGGTGGCCAGCGTGGCGATCACCTGGCCCTGCGCGTTGAGCAGCAGCTGCGGGGTCACCGGGGTCACCTGCAGGCTGGGCGCGGGGGCGGCCGCCGCCACCCCGGGGGGGGCCACGACCCACGGCAGGGTCCCGATCACCTGGGGAGGGGGCACACAGCGCTGGGGGACCCCGAAACACCGGCCCCGGGGGGGGCACAGCCCCGGGAGCTGCCGGGACCCCTCCCCAGGTGACACAGCCCCGGGGGGGGGGACAGGGGACCCCCGCGGTACCTGGCCCTGGGTGCTGGTCAGGAGCTGCCCCGGGATGCCCTGGACGCTGGGGAGGGGGGCGGCGATCACGGGGGGGGCACTGAGGGACCCCAGGATCTGCGGCTGCGCCCCCAGAGCCGCCGTGAGCTGCGGGGTGGAAACGGGGTCAGAGCTGGGACAGAGGGGGGGCGGCACCCCCTGGGGTCCTCCCCCCTCCCAGCGGCCACTGGAGTCCCTGGGGGTCCCTAAATCCCAAATCCATAAATCCATAAATCCCAAAATCCGTAAATCCATCCCCTGGGAGCTGCCCAAAGCAGAGCTGCAGCTTCTTGGGGTGGGGAAACTGAGGCAGGGATTGAGTTCAGGGAAACTGAGGCAGGGATTGAGTTCAGGGAAACTGAGGCAGGGATTGAGTTCGGGGAAACTGAGGCTGGAATTGTGTTTGGGGAAATTGAGGCAGAGATTCTGTCTGGGGAAACTGAGGCTGGAATTGTGTTCAGGGAAACTGAGGCCGGAATCCTGCCCGGGGAAACTGAGGCTCAGATCTTGCCCAAGGAAACTGAGGCAGGGATCTTGGTCAAGGAAATTGAGGCAGGGATTGAGTTCAGGGAAACTGAGGCAGGGATCTTGTCCCAAGAAACTGAGGCGCAGATTTTGCACTGGGGAAACTGAGGCAGGGATTGTGTCTGGGGAAACTGAGGCAGGGATCTTGTACATAAGACCAGGCTGGGATTGTGCACAGGGAAACTGAAGATCGAATGTTGCCTGGGGAAACTGAGGCAGTGATCCCAGCTGGGAAACGGACTGGGATCTTCTCCTGGGAGACTGAGGCAGGGATCCTGTTCTGGGACATGGGGGCAGGAATCCTCCCTGGGGAAACTGAGGCAGGAATCCCACCTGGGAAACAAACTGGGATCTTATCCTGGGAAACTGAGGCAGGGATCCTCTCTAGGGATACTGAGGTCACAATTTGCCATGTGGAAACAGAGAGTGGGATCCTGCCCGGGGAAACTGAGGCAGGGATCTTGCCTGGGAAAACTGAGGCAGGGATCTTGTTCTGAGAAATGGGGCTAGGGTCCTGTGTGGGGAAACTGAGGCTGGGATCCTGTTCTGCGACACAGGGGCTGGAATCCTCCCTGGGGAAACTGAGGCAGGGATCCTGCTGAGGAAACTGAGGCTGGGATCTTACACAGGGAAACTGAGGCAGGGATCTCATTCTGGGACACGGGGGCTGGAATCCTGCCGGGGGAAACTGAGGCAGGGATCCCGTTCTGGGAAATGGGGCTGGGATCCTGCCGGGGGAAACTGAGGCAGGGATCCCGTTCTGGGACACAGGAACAGGAATCCTGCCCGGGGGAAACTGAGGCAGGGATCTCGTTCTGGAACACGGGGGCTGGAATCCTGCCGGGGGAAACTGAGGCAGGGACGCGGCCCCGGCGTTCCCGGGGCTCCCCGCGGCCCCGCAGCCCGGGCCGGGCTGGGCTCGGTCCTTACTATGCCGGGGTTAAAGGCCAGTCCGGCGATCTGGGGCTGGACGGACATCGGGGGGTCCTTTGGGGGGGTGA